ATATATATATATATATATATATATATATATATATATAGATATAGATATCGATATTGATATCGATATCGATATCGTATATATATGTTACCGTCAAAGCCGGAAATCCGTCATTGCTAGTAATTCCTCGGCATTACTATGAATGCAAAGAGCCTTCAGACGAAGTCGGAAATTGAAGAATTTATAACTCCATATGGTATTCTACGCGTAGACAAAAGAGTGTACTTAAATTTAATATAAGTTTTATTCAAATCTATTCACTTTTAGCATAAAAAATATTTACCGAAACTTTTCAAAAAAATAGCAAAGTTGTACAATTTACAGCATTGCAATCTCTGATATTTCTTTGAAATGGTTGCGTAGCGCTGTGTGTGCCTGTCCCAAGGATGTATTCTTTTCAATGTTGTTTAAATAGTAATTTGATATTCTATAGGATATCAAAGTATTATGTTCGATGCCTAGGAAAAACTCTCCAAAAAGTCTTATTTCTGACTTCGTCTGAAGGCTATTCACATTCATAGTAATGCCGAGGATTTACTAGTAATACCTGATTTCCGGCTTTGACAGTAACATATACATAGGGCGATGGCTGAGTTTAAAGAATACAGATAGCGACAGATACACCAGCAAAGGAAACCTATTACAGGCAGATAATATAGGTAACATTGACGAGATCCAAATGTCAGTCTCGTGAGAGCATCATTTTATTACTAACATCGAGCGACAAGGAAGAGAGACAGAGAGAAAGATAAAGGCAGTAAGAGTGAGAGAGAGAGAGAGAGAGAAAGAGAGAGAGAGAGAGAGAGAGAGAGAGAGAGAGAAACATCTTTCTTTAAGATTTTCAAGTTGACTCTAGCGAGACTTACAAGTGGGGGAAGAAAGTATTGTTTACAAAATTACGAGAAAGTTTGCTCGTTTCTTGGACTTCAGGGCACAGTCAAAATGAACATACATTTTCGTATATAGGTTTCGTACATCCTACGAAATAAACGAGACAAACAGACAGACAGACAGACAGACAGACAGATAGATAAATTGATAGAGAAAGAGAAAGAGAAAGAGAAAGAGAGAGGAAGAGAAAGACAGACAGACAGGCAGACAGATAAATTAGTAGATACATAGACAGAAATAGAGATAGAAATAGGGAGAGAGGGAGGGAGGGAGGGGGAGAGAGAGAGAGAGAGAGAGAGAGAGAGACACACACACACACACAACAATAAGTGTCGCAGTTGATTTGCTTTCTACCTTCGAATACACTCACACACAAATCTCTTCCACCAATCAGCGTGCTTACATGAAGTACACTAGACGGAAAAAGAGAAACAAAGAGATATCACACGTTAGATGATGCTTGACGTGGAAACCTCTCATTTTGGCATGTATTAACGATACGTATGGATATTTTTTTCTAATTGTTAACGAACGATTAATTTCAATGAGATTGAATAAATGAAATTTTTCGGGGGGAGTTCGGATAATAAATATATATATATTTATATAGTATAAGAGATGTGTTAGTAAAAAAATCTTTGTTCGATAAATGAGATTGTTGCGATTGAAGCAAAGCACGATGACATGACGCGTTTTACTTTCGATAAGTAAGAGAAATGTGAAAGAACAGTGATCGCAACGACAATAAGATAATAAACAATTGGACATATTTGAATGCAATCTCTCGTGGGCAACAACAATGACACTTTGCTTGGCACATCGTCGTCCTTTACATCGTGCAAGCACATTCGTCTTTACGTACTTATCTTTTCCCCTTAACACAGCCAAAATATAGATCGCGACAGAGATATATATATAATATATGTATATTATACATATACATATATGCGCCGTGTGACATAAGAACGAGACAGATTCAAGCATTAGCTCGATCGATAGAAACAAGTTAATTACTTTCGTTTGGAGATCACACGACGTACACGCTTTTACGACTCAAATCAAGTGCTCGGAATTTAATTTTAACGATTATTATACTTGTATATAAAAAAAGAACAAAATACTTCATAATACTTGAAAAGAGTTATGAATTACGAGCACCTGATCAGTCGTTCGATATTTAATGACAAAGAAATACCATCGACATACATATACATATATATATCCATATATATATTTGTATATGTGGACAGTTATAGTGGTTATAGCGTTGATCGTGAGGTATATATAACGAATACTTACCAACTATAATAATCAATATAATGAGTGCGATGACGCCCATGATGATCATCATCTGTTGAAAAGAGGAAATACCATAAGATTAGTTTTCTCGTTCGATACAAAATAATGATAAAAATAAGTAAAAAAAGAGAAAATATAAATGAGAAAAAAAGAGTATTTGGAATTACCTTTAAATTTTGTAGCCAAAACTTCCTTTTCAGTTTTCCTGCTTGTTGTTCAAACTGCGACGCTCCTTGCTGGAGTGCGTCTACAAGATGGAGAAAGAAAGAAGAAATCGATAAGGAAATGTTATGGTTGCGGTGATTCTCTTGAATGAAACGATTAATACGGTCCAGAAGTAGTAAATAATTTGTTTGGCCAGACTGTACGCGGTGCGATGGAACGAACGATCGAACCCCCAATCAGCCAATACCTAACTTGAAATTTTAACATCGATTTGAGATTTTTTAACGGTAATCAATATATCGACACGGACAATCGGATTGCACTTAGGAATGGGTTATCAATCGCTTCGAATCACTTGGAATAATGTCAAATTGATAGTCTTGACAAAATTTTCAATGTCTAGAGAAAAAAAATGTGCATTTATGTGTTCTCCGTGAAAAATAATGAAATGTATGGATTAAAAAATGTCTAGCCACTTTTAGAATGGTTGATTTGTACTACTAAAAATATCTGATTGCACTTATATAAGTGCTTGACTTGTACTACTTAAATGTAAGGATAGTAATGTGGAAGAAGTTCTCATTGAAAGTTAAACAGCATTTGTTTTATAGCCAAAGTAACATGAGACCAAGCAGCATTATCATTGAGAATAATCACTTGTTGACAATTTGATGGAAGAAATAGTAATATTAGCATGAAATATTACTATTCATATTCTCGAATTGATTATAATAACGATGATTTAATTCCGATACGATAGGGATTAAAATAGGAAGAAGTGTTGAGTGATAATCTCACCTGCTCGGTCATCGAGCTCGGAGAGCTTTTGATCACGTTCGAGTACTTTTTCTACATTCGTCTTCATAATGTCGACAACCTCGTCTACCTGCGCCTGCGTCGCCTGCAGTCGCTTTTGCGAGGCGATTTGTTGAGGCGTCCTGGGCCCACCGACGATTGCATCGGTTCCCGCACTTGCATCCGCACCTGCACCCGCACCCGGGTCAGCACCCCCGACATTTGGCCTCAGACCGCCTTCGGTGGCCCTGAAAAATCTTACTTATCTTACATCTGTTTACCTCTTACAAATCTTTCAACATTTATCAATCGAATCAAAACTTCATTGTTTTTCTTTTGTTAAATATATATCGAGGAGTGTTTTAGTCATAGTTCAATTGTCTTGCAGAACGCGTAGCTAGTCTAACAAGATTTCATCATTTTGTCAAACTTTCACTCCTAGACTATATTTCCATCATGCTAAAGGCCAAAGTTCACGACAAGGTTTATTTATTAATGTCAAAACCTGATGGTATTTATTAAGCTTTTTTTTGTTCTATCTTGGTAAAGATGCGATCGATCGGGTTAGGTAGTTACATTGTTGATCAATTTAATCATTCAAATTTAGAAAATTAGATATCCTACGGGTTAGTCATGTATCTCTCAAGAGTTTTCTTTTATGGTGTTTCCACAGTACCATTTGACCTTTTACACGATACGAAAACTTTACTCGAATACCTGGCAGCGATGTTAATTTCACTATTCTATAGTTTATGTTGCGATAATGATCATACTTTTAACGATTAAACTATGTTAGGTCTCTGTTTTCATTGAATTACACATAATTACAGTGGATTTTCTTTCTAATGGAAAAATAAAATATATGGAAAAATGATTAATTTCAAATTACCTACTGATTATCGAGTTTATCATTTTAATAGAGAAATTTATTTCTTTCAATTTACGAACCTTTTTTCATTAATTATAAACGAAGGAGCGGGTGCATTAAAAAATTGTCATTAAGAAAAACCTTCAAAGTGGTTTTATTTTTGGTAGCCGATCGAAGAACCAAGCGGCAACAGCCGCGATCGATCACCGACCGTCTCTACACGTTCGAGTATGTTAGAAAATCAGCGAGTATGGTGAAAAACTTATTAGTCATATATATTTCAGGGTTGCGTCAGTAAACGGATAGACATATATAACAAGATTAACATGTCGCGTATACGATGTCGACGAAGAACTAGCAGTTGGGAAAAATACTACAAAAATAGCTTTATAATTATCTAGAAAGCTCGAAAGTTCGATAATCGTATTAATATATCGATCGCTTTTATACCTTTGTTCGATTATAGGTAATGTAACTAAAGCCTAAAGAAGGAAGACTAACTCGTATTTAACAACAATATTATTCGTCGTAGAAATCGCGTTTAATCGATTAAAAAAAAAAAGAAGAAAAAGAAAAAATGCGTAAGGATATAGTCATTTCGTTGAATCAAAAGGTATTTTATTGATAGCAACACACACACAACAAGCGCATAAGTTTCTTCGCAAAGAGGGTTGCTTTTCAATGACGAAACATTTCTATGATATCATTTACTCCCACTCATCTCGAGTTTACGTATATGTAGGTAGTTACGTATATGTACATTCGAGACACGTCTTTCTTTTTTTTCACGATCCAGTCGTAGGACATTACTGTAAATGCGTTCATCATCGATTTATCTAAATATAGAAACATTACTGGAGTATAGACGGCGGTTTACGAAACGATCGATTTCTTATCTTTTTTGTCTTTTACTTTTTTTATGTTTCTCCTTTTACTTTTTTTCTTTTTTTCACATAGATAACCTTTACGGTCAAACTCGATGGTTTTGCTGAAAAATTTAATGAAAAAATTCGATAAAATAGATAACCTCGACAATAATGATCGTCTAACGTAGACGGGTATATAAATGATGCCAAAATATCTCATTTCAATTTGATTTAAAGAAATGTATAATAATCTCTTGGTTGTATTTTTCGTCGTCGACGGTACCTACTTCACCGGTGAAACGTTAAAAATGCTTCAAGCTTTCGGACCGTGCAGTCTATTGGAAATTCCATTAACGCGGTGCGGATGGATCTCTCCTATATGAGAGAATCGATCGCGAGGAAGTATATGAGAAGGAAGGAAAAGACATGAAAATAGAGTTGCATCTTCTTCCCTTTTTATTCGTTTATCGATAGGGAGATTTTTCGATTGAGCGCAGGACCATCATGGTAGCAAAAATCGAGCTCTACTGTCCTATAAAGAAAGAAACAGAGAGAGTGAAAGAGGGTGGGAAGGAGGGAGGTGGGAGGAGGGAGGAGGGAGGAGGGAGGAAGAAAAATGTCACGTTCTTGACGTAGCTACGATCTTAGAATTGATGAGAAAGTTCTATCGAAAGGTTTCCAATCAGACTCGTTCAGCAAGAATCGATCGAAAGTTCTGACCAGCTAAATGCGTCATCACTGAGAAGGGATGTCAAATACCGATTGTTCTTCTCTGCAATGGAACGTTTTTCTTTTCTTACGCGATATAAACTTAGGTAGATGAAACGAAACTTTTTCATATATTTTTCATCACTCATTTCGTTTCCACCGACTTGCTTTATCGTAAGAACAAAAAGTATCCCCGACATTTTTTTCATTAAATAATTCCATTCGTTTTGACGTAGGAACATACGTATGCGTGTATGTATATATATGTATATGTGTAGTATAGAGCCAATGTGTAATTAAAGACACCATACAGTTTTCGTGTCGGTGGACATTGCTGCTTTAAAAAAAAGCGTTAAAAACGCGTAGGAACGATCAAACAATCGAAATAAACTTTTCTATGATCGTAATTACTCACATATTCGTTTTATTTCGCTCCTGTCCTTTTTTCTACTTCACACGGCTATTTTCAAGCCTTTGCCACCCCGTCGTTGTCTTCGTCGTCGGCGTCGTCGTCGTCGTCGTCGTCCTCGTCGTCCTCGTCGTCGTCGGACGTCGAGCCCGTAGATTTCGCGAGCAACTCTGCCTGCGGCGGACTAGATAACCGTGGTATTGATAAAATTTCCAAGCGGCAGAGATCGTCCTCTCGATATATATCGAACCTGCTCTCGAAACGACATCTCGAATCAACTTCGACCCCTTTATCTTTCGTTCCTCTTTATTTTCATATCCATGCGTTCCTTTGAATTAACATTCGAATAATCTCTAAGTCTCATCGAAATATCCTCGCACGATCTTCAAAATATCATGTATTATCTTTCATTGATTATAGTAATTATTTTCAATCGCTAATTCATTGTTTAGACGATTGCTAATGATCGGGACATTTAAAATGTTCGCGTCAAAGCAACGAATCGATCATCTAGATTCGATAGAATCGAACGTCGCAGAAAAACGAGACGCAAGCGCAACGGAATATGCAGTCAATAAAAGCCACCCCCGTCGTATCAACCCTCATGCGCGAACACACCCCGCTGGTGAATACAGGTATGTAATAAGGCTTGTCTCAGCCCTCGTATTATTTTTCTTTCCCTAAATTTCAGGCATCTTTTAGAAAATGAAATAATATACAATTTCTGTTCTGTGTAATTTTTTGATTCATTTCAATGAACGATAGAATATACTACTTCTATATATATATTTTTTTTTTATAAGAAATATTAGGATATAGCAGCAATACGATATATAATTTGCTCCAGCTTTTAATTGTTCATATTTTATGTAATTTGTAGTTTCTCTTTTAATCATACAACTCAACAAAGTTACATTTTAACGATACTCAAATACAATGAAATAAATATAATTTCGTATGGAAGAATTAACGATGATTCGACGAAATATAAAGTGTTTATTTGCAATTAAAATGTTGCTAGAATTTGCTATCTACTTTCGTGTACGATCCTGGTCAAGAACGCGTTGAGCGAATGCGCAGGATCAACCGCAAAATCTTCTATTTATGCTGTTGTTGCGATTTTCGTCGCGAGTCGTTATTGAGTTGGACGTAGAAGTCCGATAGATTCCCAGTGTCTACGTGATCTTTAACCAAAATAAGACTACCATGGATGTATATTACGGTGAGTAATTGTTCTAAGCATCTTTTCTTTTATTACATTTTTAAAAACAATATCAATTTGATTACATATAACGCCCTAAATCTCTTAAAGATTATATGTACTTCGCTATGAATGCTCGATTTCTAAGTACTCGGATTCGCTTTTCTTTTTATATTTTCGAAGATGAACTTTGATTTTGTATTTTTTATATACATTTTATAATACGAAATATCGTATTAATAACGATCATTTGATTTTTAGCTATACGTTGTTATCGATCGTATTTGGATTTTTTACAACTTCATTTGAGAACCGTTAGCGCCACCTGGCATACATTTTTCGAAATTATTTGTACGCGGGAATTAACCCGCTTTCAATTTAAAAAAGTCAGTCGGTAATGGTACGAAAACTCTCACGGGGATAATAATAAATATGAATATATATATATACATATATATATAATTATTTCATATTATCTCTTATTTACCTTATCTTTTAAAGTATTTCTTTTGCATTTTTCTTTTTTCTTGGTTTATTTTATCACGATAACGTATCTTCATTTTAAATAACGCAAAATGTCAATGTTGTATTTGTCATTATTATCGCGCCATCTTACATTTCATGTGTCATACTGTTGTAAACTGTGCTCGTCATCGACAGAAATTTGTGGGCTTATTCGTAGCCGGGTATAATTGCGAGTGTTTTTTTTCTTTTCTTTTCTCTACCTTAATTTCTAGAATTTGTATTACGCGTAAGTATATAATATGTATATATGTATATATATAAATGATAATATTTATGTTATTCGGTAAAGATTTGTTATTAGAAATTGTTTTGGTAAAGTTCATCGATATGACACGATAACGGAAATACTTATTTGGTCAAAGAATCTCAATGTGGTACGAATATTGTTTTTTCGTTATATCTTTTATTTTACATATTGTTTGTTTTTGCGATAAAATTATTTTTTTGCAGTAATGTAATCGTTTATTAGCCACTAACATATGTAAGTACTTGGAATATAGGTTATGGGCGTTGTTCTTGCAAATTAGTGTAAATTATTTCACCTTCGACGATTGACTATTATATAAATTGTGGTATTCACTATGATCATGTTCTCGGATTGTTAAAGACAGAATAAATTCATATCATAATAGTATTCGTATAATTATACAATAAGATTTTATTTGTAAAACATTTTTCCTTTCTATAATTTGAACTGTTTTAGTAATATGGACGGAGTGGGCAACTCTGCAGAAGTTGAGATCGGTGGGCCAAGAAATATGCAGCAGGCAGCATCTAGTAAAAAACTACAACAAACACAAGCTACGGTTGACGAAGTGGTGGGAATAATGAAGGTTAACGTAGAGAAAGTACTGGAAAGAGATCAGAAATTGTCAGAGCTTGAGAATCGAGCCGATGCATTGCAACAAGGTGCAACGCAATTTGAGCAACAGGCTGGTAAACTTAAAAGAAAGTATTGGTGGAAGAACCTTAAGATGATGATCATCATAGGTATCATATGCGTTGTGATCTTGATCATTATTATATGTAAGTATCTAGTTTTTTTATATTATATTATATTTTTGATCCAAATGATCTTTCCATTTTTCATTGTTTACGTCTTTGATAGACTCCGCTGTACCAAGTTCTTCAGATTCTGATAATCCTAACACAACTGCAGCTCCATAATGTTTTTTAAGGGTAACGTAACTTATCGTATTGGTCGAATATTCCAATATTGGAGTTATAATATACAAATGAAGTTTATCTGACAAAAATATGTACAGATTATAATGATAAAACAAATTTCTATGAAAATATAATGTATGATCTGGTTAATAATATAATTAAGGGATAAAAATGATGCGCATATTTTTGAGACTTAATCTACGTGATTGCACAATTTGTATATTTAACACAGTATTAATATGGGTGGCCTTTTTTTTTTTTTTTTTTAAATAATTGATGTTAAAAGATACCAAGGTTTTTTATGTTGTTGCAATGCTTATTGTACGTTTATCGAGGATACATAATATATAATGTTTATACTCTTTTTATGTGACTCCTATTTACATTTTGTATACCTATCATCTTATCTTTTATATTGTAGAGAAGTTTCTCTTATAGTATATTATAATACTTTATCATTCGAGCGCGAGACAGCAAAATACTGCATATGCATAGAAAATGTCTATTTAAAATGTAATATACGAGAATTACGATATAATATTTGAATTAACATTCGTACGACTTACATGGAGGACGAAATTAACACGCCTTCGATGAACGGTTAGCGGGTAACTACTTTCGTCGACTATTTTAACAAATAAACCTTATTTTTAGATTGTCATGCTAAAAAATCAAATGAATAATATTAAAGCAAATTGTAATCGTAAATAGGCGATTCAACGATCAAATGAAAATAGTCAAGAATCTACCGAAAAAGAATACAAAGAATGGAAAGATCGGGGCCAAAAGTGTTAACTGTGAAAATAAACTATGAAAAATTTCAATATTGCTCGGGATATGATTCATAAGAGAACGGTAAATATTTATTCAAGATATTAGCGATCACCTGACGTTGAAATCGATTAAAAAAACATTCACGTCATGTGATGATCGCAAAAAACATTGTTTCATAGAGTTCTCCTTTTGCTCTTAGAGAAAAAATATAAAAGAAAAAAATAGAGAAGAAAGATTTGAAAGATGAGTTTGACGTTGTCATCGACAATGATATTTCTATCAATCGAAGTAATTATGTTAAGAATGTATGCGTTAAGAATGAAATGCCGCTCGACCGACGTAAGAAGATTTTGATTTTCCCGCAAAACCTCGGTAGAAATCTCGACCGGCCTCATTTATACACCTATCAGTCGGCTCGCGACCGTCCAGCCGGACAGTCAGAGGCGGCACGCGAGCCGTCCTTTCGCGCGCCGTTCCCTTTGCGCCTCCATCTTACCATTTTTATTGTTACATTATTTTTTATAGACGATTGTCGTTAACGCTCGGTACACACGCAAGACTATCGGCAAGTAAATATATATCACAAATTTATATATATTAGCAATCGTATCAAAAACTTAACGAATACCGGCACGAGAGATTATCTATTTCTATCCCTTTCTTTCACCCTATCGATAGTTCTTAGCATCGTTTTTTCTTCCCGTCTTAAGAGATCGACCGGTTGTTTCGTTCGACCGATTGTAGGAAGGCTATACTTAAGTCGACTCTTTCTTTATTATGTTAAACGTTAAAATGAATTTCTTTCGATAATCCTTGCGTTATAGTTATTTTCATTTATTATTCATGTAAGAACGTATGTTATATTTTTTTTCTTTTATTTTTTCATTAACTTTTTAGGACAATAAATCGTTTTAGAGATAAAGACAAATATTCTTCAAATTTCGATCACACACAATATTTATATATATATATATCAGCGATAGATCTGTTCGCTTAGATTTATTCGAATTCATACGAAATAATACATATAAATTCATAGTAATGATCTATACCACCAGATAGTGCTGCTTATTTGTAAATTCGAAACTAGTCTTACGTACGGAGATCAGTAACGCAGAATAATTGGCAAGAGAAAGAAAGAAAGATTGAAAAATCGACTTTATTATCAGAATCGATAATAGTTAGTTAAATCGATTGAAATTATTTTGAGAAAAGAAGATCGTGATTGAGAATGTTCGAACGTTAACGTTGTTAGAGTCATTGAGACACGCGTCGCCTTGACGACAGCAACAGAGTGTTCGAATTTGTTCGTAAAATCATTGTAGTCGGTCGGTGTGTCGATAGAAGGAAGAAAAACCGAGATATTCAAAAGGTTTAGAAATGAGAAGGACATACGGAAACACAAGAGTGATTTTTCCGAAATTTTTCATATCATCCGAATCGATAAAGTCAATATGTTTCTTTGAACTCGTGCAACGCAAGTTATCATACATTTTTCATCTTTTTCTTTTTTTCTCCTTCTCGATCCTTGGAAATGTTAATAAATACGTTTTTAGACCTTGATAATATGTTCAAAATATATTCTTTATATACGTTTTAATAATACGTTTCATTTTCATTATGTGTTTTTCTTTTATTTTATTTCCTTTTTTTGAACTGCAGTTGTTGAATAATAAATGTTATTATTCAACAACTGCAGTTTAAAAAAAAGAAAAAAATGATTTTATTTCCTTTTTTTGAATTCCAATTGATTCATTTATTAACATCTTTGCTTTAAAAACAAAATTCGTATCGTTTGGATAGTTCTCTTTCGGTTTGTTTAACTGGACAGATTCAACTGTAAACGTTAACATTTCTATTCTGTATATTAACGCGAGAAAGAATAATCGTTGAACGAGTAAACTAGAAAAAGTAGAGAGTAAACAGATAACTGTGCGAGACGTTTAATATCGTCTCTGTAATAACAAACTTTTTGTCTTATCTTTTTTCATTTTTAATAATAACGTTATTCTTCTAATTGAACTGTTTATTTATTGAAGAAAATTGTTATATTGTAGATTTGTCTTTGCCAGACAGTTTATAGGAGAAATGAAAAATAGTAATAATATTAATAATTGGAAATAAAAAGAAAAAAAAAAAGGGGAAGAAAAGTCGGAGTTAGTTTTGCAAAGAGTTCATCATTAACGAGATATCGGAAGTTAAAAGAAAGAAAGAGAGAGAAATATACCCGTTATGGACAGTCATTAGTAAGATAGTTGTGTGTGTGTGCGAGTGAAGTGACGACCACCTAATCCAATCCCAATCCTCTTCCGTTTCTTTTTTTTCCTTTTTCTTATTTCTTTCTTGCGGTTTATCTGAATTTTTCAATACCGCGTGCTCCTTCAGCGGGATAAACATTCAAAATGGCGTCTTCAGAATTGGGAAGAGAAAACGATGAGTATGGACTTGGATATCAGAATACTTTGGTGAGTTTTTTATTTTCTTTTTATTACTATCTTTATTATTTTTGATCGTTTGAATATAATCGTTTGATTTTTTCGGCGGCTTATCATTGATGTCATTATGAACAAGGACAAAATGCACGCGAAAAGAGTAAAAATTTGGAAGCGTCTTACGTATCGAATCGATAAAAGCAAGTTTAGAGTGCAATTCGATATTCGATACGTACGTGTACGCGCATCGTTTTACGTTGTAAACAATATTTTTTAAGATCTTACTTACGGATTTATCTTTCACAGAGTATTTTTTAATTTTTTTTTTTTCTTTTCTTTTTCAATACTTCGAATTAGATTACTTTGCAGAAATAATCCAAATGGATGACACAATGAAAACGTTTTTTCTTGAACGTTTGATGACGTACGAGTATACTACACAGCCTTATATATTTGAGTATAGAACAATGCGAGCCGAGAAACGCGCCAAAAGTGACGGCAAGGGTTGCAAACCTATTTTCATGTTTATTCTTAGCTTAAGTATACTCTTAGGCGTAAATAGTTGTAATAATAGAACGTTTCATATAATAGAAATCTAATAGATTCTGCAAAGAGAGCAGAATCATTCTATCCATGCACACGATCGTTATTAAAAACACGTGCTTTCAACTTTCTTTCGTGCTTTTCTCCGATATTCTTTGATATCTGCGATTTATCGATTTATTATAGTCGAAACGCGGTCGTCCTCTTTTTAAACAAACAAATCGGTTCGTCTATATAATAAATTCGATTTAAAATTTTTTTATTTATAGATGGTTTTCTTTTTCTCTCTCTCTCTCTCTCTCTCTCTCTCTCTCTCTCTCTCTCTCTTTCAGTTATTTCAAATGTCAGGGCAGCTGAATAAAGATGCGTAAACGTAGCTTGGCGAGACACTTCTTATTTCTTTATCTTTGTATTTAACTTTAATTTACTCGCTGGTGTGTTGCTTTTGCCGTTGTCACTGGTCTATAAAGTCATTTTTACGTTTGCCAAATTCCCGGGACATTTAACAGATTCCTAACAATATAACATAAGTTTTAAGCACAATGCTGGATATTCGCGTATCTTGAACGCGACTATAATTATTCTCTTCGAGATAGAGATAAATTGTATTCAGCACTAAAAGATGTTTCTTTTTCTTTTTTATTCTAAACAGATTTTATTCTCTTTTCCTTTTGTGGATATTGTTTCGATTAAAAGATCTTCGATTATCGAGACCTTTTGTTTTCAACACATTTCATTTCCTCCTTCCACGATTTTTACAAACGACGAATATAAAGTCGAGATAACATTATATATATCGTGACATCATAACTTGTTAGTGTCGATTATCGCTCGAACATCGTTTATTGAAAACGTTTCATATCAAATATATATTATATTATTTATTCCCTTACTTTTTTGCAGTGTCAACTTTAATTATGTCCTTTTTTCTTTTCTATTTTTTTTTATTCATTATCGATCGCATATTATGAGTATTAAAAATCCTTCGAATTTTTCTAAGATTCTCTTTTTTTTCTTTCACACACATACACACATTCGGTAATAATGATTCAGAAGTATGATCGTTTCGAAATATGTAGATAATAAACGTGATTTGATCGCATTGCGTGTCATCGGAAGCATGATTGCATCATTCCTTTATGCATTTATTTACACATATACAGGATGTTCCAAAAACTCAAGAACAAACTAACACGATTTGTTTTAACCCTTTTGTTACTAGCGACCCATACAAAATATAAGATAGCGATCGTTCATACAAAAGCCTGTATATACGACTCCTCTATACATAAATATTCATAGCTATTTAATAAACGAATGCGGAATTTGTTCTAGCGATTATATATGTTAACTAATCGAATTATCACATCGATTCAAGGATTTCGATCATCGAATAAACGGTACACGCACGTTAGACGCATTACGTTTCATCGCTTCTTGACTTTATTATTATATCTCTACTCGTTTATTTATTTTATTTATTTGTCATTTTTTGTGATACCTTTAAACGATCATTTTTAGAATAAAAAATAAGTTCTAGACGAAAATATAAAGTACACTGAAAATACTGTGATATATTATTATTGAATTATTAAACTCGTTAGAATTTAAACACGGATGAAAGTTCATTTTCGCTTTGATTACTTTCTCTATTTACCTACTATATATATAAGATAACTCGACAAAAAATGAAAGAAAAAATGAGAGATTTGTTGCTTGTCGAGAGCAGAGATAAGACGTTCTTTAGTTGCTTGTAGACCGGCAGAATGTTCGCTAGTGGTATTACAGAAAATGTCTTTCGATGATAATAAGAATCGAGGTCGAGAGAGAGAGAGAGAGAGAGAGAGAGAGAGAGAGAGAGAGAGAGAGAGAGAGAAAGAGAAAGAGAGAGACTAACGAGATCGTTGCCGATTTTAAACTTGGAATTATAAGAGGAAGAAATGAAGGAAAGAAAGAAGGAAGGAAGGGGAAGACGAAGAAAAGATATTAATTTATCTCATTCCATAGTTTTAGAGTTAGGAATTTATTTAAATAATAAAAGTTTTTTTTTCAATAATTGTGAATTTTCCTCAAACTTTATTCATACATTTAATTGAATAAACTTGATCATAACTTACTTCTCGCGTGTGCGCGCGCGCTTTCTCTTCAATGAGGACACATAATACCTACAAAAAAATATATATATACATTTATATGTGTATTTTTGTGTACATACGCGTATTGATAAAGTCCATTAGACAAATGATTTATTCTTACTGGTTTTTAATCGAATTGATTAAAGCGTTGGGATCGAAAAGGTGTTTTTAAATATATATATAATCGATTCTACAAACTGTAAGAGGAAGCACGCAAATATTTATTCGTTAACTTTAATGATATTCAAATGCTGCCATATCTATGTACCATAATATGTACACATTTACATATACATTCACTTATATTCTTTATTTTTTTCTTTGCAATTTGTAATATTTTCATTTTCGAGTATTTCTATTGAATTAGCTAATATTTAGTTACGATTTTCATATACTACAAGATTTAATTAGTTATATAATAATAATAATAAATAAAATTGTGTAAGTTTATTCATTTTTTCGGATGTCGTGGGTATGGTTTACTATAAATTCGATCGTACATACGTATCGTCGCGTAATATACGAATCTTATATGGGTCGATGGAGCTTTTGCATGAATCTGTATATAGGTCGTTAGTAACGAGAGGGTTAATTACACACCCAGTAAAGATTTATAAAACTGATAATTCTACTACGAGAACCATGCGGGCGAGATAACGGTTTAAAAATACTATCTAATTCACATAGACGTTCTTCCTTTTCTTTTTATTTTTTTTTTTTTTACATATGCTTTCACATATCTGTACGTGTGGATGTGCACGTGAATGTTCAAGGATAATGCACGCAATCGATTGTGCCATTTTTAAATATTTTTAACGATTAACAATAAAGGATTGTTGTATGGGAAAATGTGAGGAAGTTGAAAAGAAAAAAAAAGGAACAAGGGCTTAAATTACATTTTAATTGGATCTGATTACTATAACAGTATCGTTAGCAGAGAAATAAACAAATAGAAAATCGCGTATAATTCGTAAACTGAAGCTAAGTCGATTTGAAAAATGAAATTTGAAAATGGCGCCGTTCAAACGTCTCCCAGGGTGTCCAACACTCGAAACAAGTTTTCTCGGGCAGTGTCGACAACAACGAGAAAAGAGACATTGTGATGGAACACGATCAAATGGACGAAAACACATCGACGATCGATCCTATCGTCATTATCGTCAAGTTATGCGTTTTTGCCGATATATTTAAATACATTAGAAAACTGAGAGAAAATCGTAAATAATGAAAACCGTGTTTCTCGACAAAAATAGTAATAAATGTCGTAAACTTTACGTGAGGAGTTACGTAATTTTGATTTGTTGTTGAACGTAGTGAAAAAGGCGCCAAATTGAAATGTGGATGCGTATCGCGACAACAAACTCGTGGAGGTTCAATAACAAAAAGTGATAAACAAAAGAAGAAAATAGAAAAAAAGCAATTAAGATAAAATAAAATGATCGATCAATTAAATAAGTGTATTAGTTTAACGACGATATTTGCGTCCTCGAAGTGTATGTGAACATATTTTTCTAAGATAAAATAATTGCCTTGCTCGTCGTAAAATCGATGAAGCTGGAACGATAACGTGGATCTTTCGAATATAACACTCACTCAGTGGGTTGTTTGGTAACGGCACACACGCAGCGTTTTTTAAAGCGATAGAATACATTTCATTGATACTGGTTGCGTCGAAGTGAGATACAGGTCAAGGGTCGAAACGGTTCAATTTTATTTTTCATTTATTCGAATGTGAGATAAAGAAAATAAAAACGCCAGAAGAAGAAGAAGAAGAAGAAAAAAAAAGGAGGAAAGAAAAAAGAAGTTAGAAAAATGATAATCTGTTCTCGTGGAAGCTCGTTGATACGAGTTTGCGTATCGACTCAGCTGAGGACATTACAACAAATTTCGAGAAAAGAAGCAGACGTTGCTGGTATTGTTGTTGGTACCGCAAGAAATATGGCGTCCAGTAGTAATACGAAGGATATGGTTGTACCAAAAGAAGAAGTCGTCAGATTCATTAAGGAATGCATGTGCAAAGTGGGAACACACGAAAAAGATGCTCACGTAGTTGCATGCCATTTAATGACCTCTGATTATCGCGGTCACTTTAGCCATGGTATGAACAGAATGCAGATGTACGTGAACGATATTCAAAATAAAATCATCGATCCTGTCGCCAAACCAGAGATCATACGAGATTTTAAGGTTCGAGACAATTTTAACGAAATGATGGAACGCATGCTTTCGGAGTTATCAGATGTTCTTTCATTTGATTTATTTTATTAGAAAAATATATTTACGTCATTTAATGTGTGTTGATTAGAGTTGTTACCTTTCAATGATTATATCATTGGTATATATCACATTTGCATCCTCAGTTTAGATATAAACGCATCGGGAGCAACCTTGAAATATTAACGACCGATTAAACGATAAAATAAGATACTTCTCTCTCTTAACAATATCTATTTTGTATCGCGGGAGTAACATTCGTTGTCGGGTTGTAAACATTAAATCCACCTATATCTAATTAACGATCGCAAGCGCGTGTTAAGATTCTTACGTAATCGGCAACAACATTAACAAGCCGACGATCAAATATCGTAATTATCTTGTGGAAAGTAAATATTCGAGATTTTTCTCTGTCTCCTCTTCTTATCTATATTTTTCCTATTGCGCGCATTACGTGATGCTTCAAAATTCGGTTCGCCGAAAAACTAATAATAATAAAATATAAAATGTATATTGTTCGATTCTGGAAGCATATAGACCATTTAGAAAGGAAATAGAAGAAATCAAATAAATATATAAATAAAGATACATTTTTTACAGGCGATAGCTTTGGTAGACGGACGAAATGGTTTGGGTCAGGTAATCGGCAAGTATTGTATGGAATTAGCGATAAAAAAAGCTAAGGAATATGGCATTGGTATGGTATCAGCTCGAGGATCGAATCATTTTGGTATTTGTGGTTATTATACGTTGATGGCTATGAAACAGGGTCTGATTGGTTTCAATTGTACTAACACGAGTCCTTTGATGGCACCGACGCGTAGCAAAAAAGCTGCTTTGGGAACAAATCCTTTGTCCTTAGGCATGCCTGCAGAAAATGGGGACGAATTTCTTTTGGATATAGCTACTACTGCCGTGGCACTGGGGAAAATTGAGTTGGCTATGAGAAAAGATGAGTCGATACCCCCGGGCTGGGCTCTCGACAGTCATGGTAAAATTACTACGGATGCTCAAAATGCTTACGATGCGACTCTCCTGATGCCTTTGGGTGGCGAAGAACGAAATTCGGGTTATAAGGGTTACGGATTTGCTACTATGGTCGAAGTTCTTTGCGGTGTTCTTTCTGGCAGCCAGTTTGGACCGAACATTCGTGCTTGGAAAAAAGGCGACAAGATTGCTGATTTAGGACATTGTTTCATGGCTATCGATCCCGAGGCTTTCGGTACTGATTCGAAAAAGAGATTGGCGGTTTTGCTCGGTCAACTTCGGGAACTTCCAACTGCAGGTGAACTACCCGTTCTCGTGGCTGGTGACACTGAAAGATGTGCCATGGCGAAGGTCGATAGAGAAGGTGGAATAGAATATCATCCAAATCAAATAAAAGACTCTGCTGAATTTGCTCAAATCATGGGGGTCTTGCCCATGAAATTAATACCTAAAATTTCCACTTAGATTTTAAGACGTTTGCATATTATATTGCGTATGATACTGTTAGATAGATTAGATTTAGATTTCGGTTAAATCAATTTTTAAGACCGAGGAACAAATTAGTGACCATTAATATATAGTTTTTGTGACCCCATTAAATATATATTTTAATTGACGAAAGACACGCGCGATACTTGATTATTTTAAACAGATATATTTTTCTACTAATAAATAAATCTACGATATATATAATATAAAAAAGTTTATTAACTGGTTACTAACTACTGTACCGACTACTGTACGAGATTGATTGCTTTTTTTCTAAATAAGTCCAACAATCTTACTATTTAAAGTTGATTAGATTACGGTCAACCGCTATGAATAACAGGTTTGTTTACCCTATCAACATAATAACTCTCTTTTACAGAACAATTTATTTTTCTACAAATATTGTATATTATACATGTATTTTTTGTTAACAATAAATTTATTTATTTAAGCATTTATTCGTATATTTTCTCTAGTTAATTTAATCGTTGAACCATTGAAACGAATGATAAATCGATTAAGATTACGAAATGAATCGCGATGACAGTTTTCATGCTTTCGTTTCTATTATCATTGCACGAACAGTGTTTATCTCGTTTATCCATAATAAACAATTGCTTGTAACGATTCGATGATTTCAAGGAAACTAGGTTTTAATGCACGATGACATAAGAGATATGCGGTTTCATCATGTTCATGATTATGCTCATGATCACGATTAGGATCACGATCAAGAGCTTGATCAACGACAACAGTGGTCGATGATGACCTTGAATATCGACTCGTCCAATTGACATTTTGTTTGAATTCTCGATTCGTTTGGTGGTATATGAGTATTAAAGTAATAATATATTTACGTTGTTTCGTCGTTTCACGATCGACCAGTTTTTCTAATGACATCTCATATTTCGTGGCAAACTTCTCTCGTTGCATAATTGCATCCTTTGTGGCGAGGCGAACGATGAGAAAATTACGCTGGTTCTATTTTTTTCTTTTTTTCTTCTATCGAGATAATAAAATAGACAAGATAAAAGCGAAATTAGCCCTCTTTAACTGATTCTTGCTTTTGTCTCTAATAAGCAAATGTTATGCAATATGAAATTTATAGCGTAAGTTATACTAATTGTAATTATTATAAAAGAAGTAAATCTCTGTCTCTCTTATATATATATATATATATATAGTATATAAATAATATTATATTAATTAAAATTGAATAATTGGTAGAGTTATACTATCATTAAGAAAATCTAAAAAGTAATAAGTTTAATTATACTATATTTTGCTTATATATATGCAATTAGATAATATAAAATTATATTGATAATATTGTTTTTACGAATTTCACTATAGTATAATTATTATAAATATTAAGAAATACTTATATATACACATAAGCGATAATGATAAGTATTATTAAATGAAATCACATTAAAAAATACAAATTTTTCTCATAATTACGAACATAGTAGAGCATTGGTATTTAGGGAATTCGATACACACGGACGACGATCTTTTCCAGAGAATATTTTCAAGTTCCATTACAGAAAGTGGTAAACAAGGTTATCGTCTTGGAAACGCTCACGACTCGAACGATTTCTTGCTATCATTACATTAAGTACATTTCGGTAATATAATTGTTGATATTAAACGTCGATAAATTTTACTCTGAATTTGTTTTCTTACATAGAGGCATATACATATGTTTAGATTTTGCTTGTGAAATAAAACTTTACGTAAGAGAAGTTATCGATTAAACGCGCACAGTAATTTATATTCTATTCCATAGAATGACCATTGGAATAGATTAGCTAGTTTCTTGTCACGTTAAAGAAGCACCAAGGAATTTCGCACTTTCTATATCGTCGTGGAGAAAGGATAGTAAATAAAAGCGAAAGAAGAAGAAGAGGAAGAACAACAAATAAGATTATTTCAAATGATTTAATTAAAGAAATGAATTCTAAAAAGACACAAATCATATATAATTTATAAATAATATTTTAATATATAATAGCAAATACATATAAAAATACTATACACTTTGTATTAAATAATGAATATTGAAATGATGGCTATTCTCTGATCGTTGCTCGAATAATAAAAAACAAAGAATGAAAAGAAACGAATAGGTTTATTCTAGGTCAGTGACAACTTCTTAAGAATTGTAAATCAAAACGTAAAACGAAAATATGTCGTTTACGATTGTTAAAGCAAAGAAAAAAACAATCGAAAATTAGTGGCACTTTACTTCAATCGTTCTCGTTGTGCACATGTTATCGTCACTTATTATCGCCATTTATTATCGCATATTTCGCTCATTGTTCAAGAAAACTTTTGTGTGCGTTGTTATTTAGTGAAGAATCTTTAGCTCCAATAATTGAAGTACACTTTTTGATTTACATAAAAATTGTATTTCAATCCTTTTGAAATATTGAAATGAAAACAAAAAGGGAGAGGGAGAGGGAGAGAATAATACAATAGTGAATAATATAATGAGAAAGAAGCAGATGTTTTTCTTGAAATTATACTGGAAAGGAATAGTTAGTATGAGAGACGCGTGCACGAGGTCGAAGAGTTATCGGTGAGCTTTGTTTGTTGAGCATATTATCGACCACCAGGCGATTACGTGCTTCCTAAATATCATATATTTTTTCTACACAAAAAATGATAGACAAAAAATTGAACGATAATAGTTTAGCTTATATAAAGTGTTCATAAGTTTTACGATGCTTCTTTTGATTTGTGTATAAATCATTTATGCGTTCCATAAATGTAACATTAATTATGTGCAATAAAAAAGAAAAGAAAATAAGGATAGACAGTGAATATTTTGAAACGAAGAACCAACAGCAGCAGTCGTTGTCGTCGTCGTCGTCGTCGTGAGGCTAAACAGGAAGGAAGGCCCAGTAATTGAACAAACGATCCTATCCAAAATGCGATTGCATGCACTGTTGACGCATTCGAGCCGGGGTAATTCATTGCCGCTATGCTCCATGCGACTGACATTAACTAATTCAATGGTCTAATACATCAGTGTTATAGGGTCATGGAACCCATGGGACCGATTATTTTTATACATTTGTAACTATTTTCCTAACCATCGATCTTACAATTAGAGATTTCGACGACACCATTTAGTGGATTCGTAAAAAGCATTATTTTCACGAGTCATCAACGTTTTTGCTCGTTTAATGTTTGTAATAATAATGAAATTATATAATAATCAAAGGAAACTTTCATCTTACGATAAATTCATCGGAAAAGAAGATTCAAAGAGACAAATCTATTTTTGACGTCGGAGGGATTCTCAAGTGTAATTTTCGCAAACATACGATTCTAAATAAAGGCGGTAGATTCTAATTAAGATTCTAATTACCTCTTTGCGGGATATAAATTTTGAAATTATTTTCGCAGTCGGTGGACTTTTTTGTTGTATTATCTCAAACTACGCTATCTTAGCAGTTGCTTACTCTAAGTAGAAGCACAAGTCGGTAAACTCAAATAAGTTAATTTATAACACAGCAGTTCTACAACTAACAATAACTTTAGCCGGGTTTCTTACCGGTTCGTTAGAAGAAACGATTTGCAATCAGTCGTTTTTTAATCGGCCAATTATTGGGATCCTCAGAGATTATACATTCTGATTTAGCGAATTTTTACATAGTTTAAGGTACGTATGTTCATTTGTAATACCGAATTGCACGCAAGAACAAAAAACAAAATAAAATATCCGTTAATCCGATAGAGGAGGAAAATTTCGATGATATTATTTGTGAATTTGTCGGGGAAAAAATGTCGAATAAAAGTTGGAAAGATGAATTTGCATAAAAAAGAAAGAAAAAAAAAAAGAAAATGATCTCGGTGTATGTACGCACGTGCTCGAGGAGGTTTATTTAAGACGGACACTCATCGCATTACGCGTTAATTTCAAGCGATATGATAACCGGTGACTTTGAAGGCAACATCCTACGAGAGCCCTCGGGAAGTCCTCAATTGGTGTGCACGGCTTTCGTACAGTCGCTACTAGAAACCTTACCGGCCACCACATCAAACGACAACATACGTTCGATAACTATACCAAACATCCAACCTACGTATTTATCTTTTTAATTATCTAGAAAAAACGCTTCGGAAAGCTTATCTATCATTGGACACAACTATGCCGTCCAATCTATTCCAGAGAAAGGTTTATTATACATTTACAAGTTGATACTATTATATTATATATGGCGACCCTCGGTCAAGTTAATGAGTCCACGGGACAGGTCATTTAACGAACACCAATTTTTTGAGATAATCGCCGGAAGAGATCAAACTTTGTGGCTACCTTGTCACAAAGCAATATATATATAGGCACAGACACACACAGCCATACGCAACCAGAGCATATAAAAATCATTAAGATCCGCTTGCTCTAAGTATACAAAATATTTGCTAAAACTTTTCAAAGAAATAGCAAAGTTGTACAATTTACAGCATTGCAATCTCTGATATTTCTTTGAAATGGCTTTTGAAATGGCTTTGACAGTAACATATATATATAATAAATGATTTGAAGACAAGAAAGAGGATTTAAAAAAGTTCAAATTTGGATACACGAGTAATTGTCAATTCGAGCACGCGTTACATTAAATTAAACAAATATTATTGTTGAGATGAGGGATAAGAAAAAAAGAGAGAAAAAACAATGAATATTATAGATTTTGTTTTCCAATAGATAAATCAATTCTCTAACGCGATAAGATCATCATAGAGGTGTTCGCTAACACAATGGATTATTTGAATTGACCGAAGTAGAGGACATTATTTTGCACACATAGTAGTTTGTCTTTAGGTGAGCGTACGCGTGCACGCGTTTATATGTGTAGTTATACTACGATTCGTGCACTACGAGTTGTACGAAGACGACGACGACGACGACGACGACGACGACAGGGATGGCAAAGTGAGGCTGATGAGTTCGTAAATTGGAGCAGCCTAGGTCCTTCTCTCGTTCTCTCTCTTCTCGTCATCAGTATGTGACTCACTGACGCTTCGCGTTAGATCGTTCGCCGTTAGGCCGATCTGTACGGGGTTTGCCATTAACTTTCTTTTTTTGTTTGCTTCACTCATTCTCTTCTTTCTCTTTCATCTACTCTTCTCCATCTCTAATGCCAACAAGTGCTTTTCATCTGACATAAGATTTTGTAAGAATTGTGAAAAGATAGAGATAGAGAGAGAGAGAGANATTATCATAAATAAAAGTCGAGGAAGTTAATTCTACCATTCGGTCGAATTCCTTGGAGGACGATAATTTATGTCGACTTTTGCCGCGGGCACTCGCGTCAACTTCTCTTTTTATCTTTTTACTTTGCAAAAGAAAGAGTAAATGAGAGAGAGAGAGAGAGAGAGAGAGAGATAGAGATAGAGAGAGAGAGAGAGAAAGAGAGAGAGAGAGAGAGAAATATTTGTCAATATA